TCACATAGTCATTGCCAATTTAAAAGCTGAAAGTAATCCATCCTAACTGAGCGAATCTGCCTATGAGAAATAAAAATTCTGTCTCAAAATTGTAGTCAGGGCTATTAGGGGTCTCAAAAAAGTAACCTCAAATGTATTTATTTATTTATTAATTGAAATAGTCCTTCAACTTAAAGTCCTGCTTAAAAGATTTGTTTTTGGGGGGATTTGGGGGGTTTCTTGGTTTTTTTGCTATTCTTTTAAATTACTCTGGACTCCATCAACAGGCCCAGCTGTTAAATTCAGGAGCAATGACAACAAATCCCTTGGCAAACAAGTGCTGAGAGTGAGACCCTTTCTTTAGGATAATCAGAGATAGTTGACAAAAGAGGGCCATACCAAATGCCCTTTCAAAATTCCATTAAGAAGCTGAACAGAAATAAAATAAACACATTTATATACATCTTAAAGCAAATTATAATTATACACCTCAGTGGATCCTGCTTGGTTATAAAATTAAAAATCCAACAACTTTGAAAAACAGCGAGATAGTGTTACAGGTTTCTGAAGATGAGAAATGATCCTCACTAATCAAGTGCAACGTGGGAAAAACTGGTTCCATTACCCAGAGATTATCAGGTACCTGATAAACCTTTTAAGTAGAAAGACTGAAAGAACCAAGTGTCATTATATATAAAGCCTGTAGAACTCTATGTGCTTTTACTTCCCTGACTTAAGCAATTTTAAGATGGTCAATTTTTAAGCTAAACATGTACTCTTGAACCATAACCTCTTCTCTTTAAAGATGATTTTTCTTGGATCCCAGAAAGCATCATCTGAACCTTATCTACAGTGTTGGCAAATGGGTCTCTCTAAAATACCTCAGTTCTGTCGTATTTTTCTGAAATCAAAAGACTTTTACTTTTGTGTTACAACTGTTGAATTAGGGCAGGTAACTGTTAACAGCCTGAAGTGAATATGCACACATGTAAGAGGTGTTCCCCTTTACAGCATCTACAAATCTCAATAAAAAGTGACACTGTAGCAAAATCTTGCCCGTCTTGGGTCCTAGATCACTAATAAAATTCTAAATTTAGGCTAAGAGTCTCATAGTTCTTTCTCTTTTCAACCACCCACCTTATTTTTTTTTTAACATGAGTCATTAAATCCCTCTCAATATATTTTAACTCATTTTGGGCTATAATTTATGTATTACTCTTTAAAATAGAAACCACACTCATAGAACAGTTTTTCATTAATCTAACTACAACAACAAAAGCCCTCAAGTTTCATCTCCATTTAAACTACATCCTTTTAAAGGGAATTACTATTCCTAGGTCTGTATAGATACAGACCACCTGCCCCGCTCCCCCACAACTTTACACATGCAAAAACTAACCTCAAAATTTTGGTGGGGGGCAAACATCATAAAGTTACAATACTATGGTTTTCTGGCTAACAAATGCTCACTTAAAAAATGATTTTTCACCCAAGTGAACAGTCCTGAAATACCTAGAAATATAAGCTGGCTTTATGTTCTCTTTCCCTCTATCCTAAGACTTCAATTTCCACCTTTTATGGAAAGGAAATAAACAACTAGCTTCCTGTTCAATCACTCGCTTACAGCCAGTCTTTTACACATCACAGAACACAACCCGCCTCCTCCTTTACTTCTCTCAAACGTCTCTTATCTTAATTTAAACTTGTTGAAATATGAGACCATTTTACCACACTAATGCTTTCCTATGAAATTTATCTTACTTTAATGTTAAGAACGCAAGAAACATCAAAATGTCCATGGATTATTTCTTATTCCTAAAATATTTAAATTAAATTATTTACATAGTGAAGACTTAGCACCCGTGAAAGTGAAAATTCGATTTGCCAAAAGCTAAAAATATTGTAATTTATAGGAAACGGCTTAATCTTCTGTTCTTACTATTGTATACAACTAGAGAAAGGGCCTCCCACATACTCTCCTTTCTATTCTAATTTCATGAAAATGTAAAACGGCTAAAATGCTTATCAACAAAAAGGATTACCTTTTTTTAAAAAAAACCTAAATATTACTTTAACCCTATACTTTCCTTTAAAAATGGGATGCCTTAGAAAAACTAAGTTAGACAAATTCTTTTGTGCTTGGATGAACAACAGGAAAGCAAAGCCTCCAGGCCTTTGGGGAGGAACCCTGTCCCTGCAGCCAGCTCTGATGTGCTTGGGAGATAAGGCTCCATAGTGACACTTAAGGAAAGGCCTGTTCACATTTGAATTTCTGCATTCCTCAAGAACAATTCATGGCAATAACTAACTTTGCAGAAGAGCTACATGAAAGCTTTGGCCAATGAATGAGGGTCATCTGCTCTTTATCACAAGGGTAAACCTCACCCTGGCCAGTTTCTAACCTTTTAACCCTGTGAATTCCTAATTTACACATGAATAATGGAATTCTTGCCTAGAGTGCAACTTTCAGCTTCTAGTTCCTAAGTTTAGAAACCAAGACTTGATTGCCTATATGTGTTAAAAATCTAAAACTTGTACAAAGTTTTAGATTTTCAAATGCTGTAATCTTACACTTCTGAACCAAAAGATATGCTTGCTGACAAATCTTGGATCAGAAAATAAAAAGAACATAGTGGCACCCTGCTGCTATCAATAAGTAGTAGAGAACAAGCTTTTTTTTTTTTAAGCAAAACAGAATGTCCACTTAATGCCTATTCTCTTCCTGTTTAATATGTATAACATCTTTACCCTGAACATAAGATAGTCATTTGAGCCTACATTACTGGACATTGCTCTTTAAATATCCAAACTAACTTTGTGAATTCAGAACCTCTAAGAAGTCTCATATTTTTAAAGAAAAATTTAAAGCCACTATGCATTCATTTTAGATCTATAATACTGAATATAATTTCCTAGCAAAATATCTCCACAGAGTTAAATAAAACATGTGCCTATGAAAAGTGTGGTCCCTATAACTGAGTACAGTTGACATTTAACAGCAATGTTCTACACAGTTTCACTAGAAAGTTTTTGATACTCATTATATGATATACCTAGAACAGCTTTCAAAACTATTCACATCTAATATTTATTATCCATAATTTTTACACAGTAAAAAATCTAAAGATACTCAAAAAGCCAGTACTAACATGTGTTTCACTGTTAATAACACTTATTATACTATACAGACTTTAAAGCTCTGTGTGTTTTCAAGGCATTTCTGAGTGCCTTAGAATTTTGTCAGGCTACTAAGGAGGTCCTGGAAAATGTGTGGTCGTGATAAATGCTTCATCCTTTCAAGGCCCATGGCACTCCTCCACGTTTCTATCCTGCTCCTCTGCTCTCCAGCAAAGAACTACAAGCTACAGTTCCTGGGTATGAAACACTCTCCACAACCCTGAAAAGGTGACAAAATTACAACTCTATACAACAACTTTATCTTACACAAAAAATAAATGAACAGAGCACACTACCTTGAACACAGGACAGAAAAACTGTTAGTCAACAACAACAAAATGATTTTTGGCCAGTGATTATGGCAAACAAAAAAGTTTATCAGAAATTTTCTCAGGTTTTTGCTATTCTTGGGGGTTGGGAGGTTAGAACTGGGAACTTTTCTACCTTTTTGATATATTCCAATATAAAAGTATCTTTGCTTGGATAATTTTCTACAATTAATCATTACTGCACAAATAAATTACTAATATGATGGTGGCATAAATATGGTCATACACTTTTAAAATAGTTAGTAACCTAGAAAATCCCTGCCAGTAGCTTTCTAAATTTCAATTGTGTAGGCCCTGAAAAAACTATTTCCTAAAGGATTATGTCTTTATCTCAAGAGCTCCCTCTTCCTATTGTTCATCCTGTAAATGATCAATTTGTCAGTATAGTACAAAATCTATCTTTTGCAGATTAACAGAAGAATGTAGCTACAATACTTATAAAAACTATTTTTAAGATGGTAAGGCGATTCTGCTTTTCCAGGGGGAGCCCAGGGAGCGGTGGCAGGGAGGAAATGGATGTTTTGGATGCGAGTGGAGGCGGGTGGGATCGAGCCCCACATCGGGCTCCCTGCTCAGCGGGAGGCCTGCTTCTCCCTCTCCTGCTCCCCCTGCTTGTGTTCCCTCTCTCGCTGTGTCTCTCTCTGTCAAATAAATAAATAAAATCTTTAAAAAAAAAAAAAGATACAGTTGTCGTTAAGATTTACATTGTCTATTGTCATCTTGAGTGTTGCATGTTTGATCCCCCAAAGAGGTGGAAAGCCTCAGTGGAAACAAGGAGTTCCCCATTCATCCTAGGCCCGTCTTTACACTCAACAGTTAGCAGGTCAACCACCAAGAACTGGATCACTTGGACAAATGGCTGATCTGATGGGGCTGTTAATACAAGGAAATCATTAGACAGCCGACTTTATGACAACTGGAATAAAGGGGGCAGATCTGTTTTAAATCCATTAGGCATAATATGGAAATGGACTTAACCTCTTTCTCTCCCAGCAGAAAAAGACTAGGAATACTTCAAAGGCTTGAAAGTTACTGACCAATGCCCTCTCTACAATTAAAAAGCAACATGAGTGATCTTAAAGCTCTCAGAGAAATGGAAGATTGGGCTATAAGAAAGATTTAGCACTCAAGGGCCATCTACAAAGCAGAAAGATTTGCTTGTGATTTTTAAAATTTAATTATTAATTTATGAAAGATGAGATTTTAGAGCTTTCGTTGTGTTAGCTAAACTTTTACACCCAACTCTTTTCATAGTGTGAAACACTTGTAAATTTATAGAAAGCCACTTCTACAGGTTTAGGTGTTCTAAAACTAACTTGACTTTCATTCTCAATCACTTATTCAAATTTATATTTTTTTCTCAGATTTTTCTCCATGCCTTAGTTAGCATCAGCTACTATCTCCAGGAAAATTCTTAATGTTTGTGTGATTTTTAGGGTTAGCACATAGTGAATCGCAAAATGATCAAAATGTAGCAATGAAAAGTGTCAAACAATGAAGAATTTAAACACTTACTTGACAAGGTAAGATGCGCTTTTTGACTAAGAATGGCTCCGTATTTGTTCATTGCCAAGCACTGATAAAATCCTTCATCAGACTGCTCTCCTCGCTTGCCTTCCACTTCACTGATGTATAAAGAGCCATTAGACAGAACCTGGATCCGTTTATCTTCAGACACTTTTGCTCCATTTTTCAACCATGTGACCTTAATAGGAACTTCTCCATGAGCCTGGCAATCTAAAATGACTGGGTCCTTTCTTGTGACAGTTACATCCTGTGGTTCCTTTATAAAAAACAGTTCACTAAAGCTCCACACTCCTATAAGGAAAAAAGGGGGGGGGGCATATCCAGAATTACAGATATAAAATCATTTCTTAACACATAATTGTAAAACATATTCAGGGTGTAACATGACAAAGTTTAACAAACATATTAGTTAACTGATTAACACCTTAATAAACCAATCTAAGTTCAGCAAACCTTTTCAACAAATCAGAAAAATCCTCTTTTACAACACCTACTCTAAAAGCAAAGAGAAGATTTCATAATCTTCTCTGCCTTTTAAGAATCCTGTTCTCAAGCTCCTTGCTAGAGTATCAAAATCATCAGGAAAACTCATGAGCACAAGCTGTTTGCTACTTTTACAAGCTTGTCAAAAAGATCCTGAGCAGAGTAAGTCGTAAAAGTCTAATTTTACAAGAAATCATTAGCAAAACTCCAACTCTGTGAACAAGCAAGTTTATTTCCTTGTCCCTTGAAGTGTTTTGGACCCCTTGGCACCTACTCCTTTGGGAAGTGCATTTATCTTTTGTGACAAATTACAAGTTTGCATTTTTATATCTGTCTTTTTACAGCAAGGACTCCGTCTCCTCTCCTTGAAAGAGATCCATTTTACTTAACTTCTGCAGAGTAAGGTAGGTATTTAATGGACAAACAGTAGACTTTGAAACGCTGGTAACTCTTGCTGATTGTATTCAGTGGGTGATCGGATTAGAAAAATTTATTTCTTCTTTCTTTCCTTTCTCTCTTTCTTTCGAACTACCAACTGCTGGAAGAAAGTGCGTGAATAATTGGTCCTTACTGTCTAATAGGGATAGGAGATTGCTTAATCGAACAATATACATTTTATCAGAGCAAAGGAAAGGTTTTATCGTAAGCATACACATCGCCCCCGTCCCTGCCAGCAGAAAGCATCCGATGACCGCCTAATACCCTGTCACCTCCTGCATTCTGCGCAAAGGCCAGCTAAAGTCTGTCATATTGACTGGGGAGTGTTAGAGGAGTCTGGGAACATTTCATCTTCCTTATGATGTTCTGAATACATGATTACAAATTCCCGGGACTGATCTGTTTCTCATCAAGGCAGGTCCTCGGAAACCTCACACACTAGTCACGCTCCCACGCTCGGGCTGCGGACTTCTAATATATGCCCTGGGCGACGCGAGCGACCCTAACAGCCCCGCGCTGCGAGGACCACTCCGGAAGGCGCCCATTGTGTTTCCGAGTCACATCTGACTTTGATCCTTTTCTCATGTTAACAGAAAACTAACTCCTCCAGAAAAGATGCAAGTCCGGGGTTTCTAACCTGTAAATAAATAACCCATTCTCCTGAACATCTCTCCTCCTCGCCCCCCGCAATCATCACATCCACTTTACACTTTTTATCTCTTTGAGGATAAACTAACGCAGACGCAAATGAGAAAAATCAGTTCATCCAAGTTTGTACAAGGCTAACCTGTGGAGTATGGAGTGATCTTCACATTGGTACACACCTCGGGCCCTGCCCCCAAATACCTGGCTGGGCGAGGGAGGGGGAGAATCCTATTTATAGGATTATACCTGCCTTCTCAGCTCCCGGTACCTTCCTCCCCCCGCCCCCTCCGCACAAATCGGCCACGCACCTTCCAACCCATCTTGTCTCCAATTCCACCCCTCCCTTCTCCTCCTCTCTTGATTTGGATCTGGGAAAATGGGGGCCCTAGGGGTGCTGCCCCGGACGCTGAGTTCACCTATTCTCTACCCTGCCCTAAAACGTGGGGGGAACCCCCACTGCAAAAAGGAGAAGCCGCGAGAAACCGCGGCGCCCCCTGCGTGGCCAGGCTGCCACTAAGGAAACAATATAAATAAAGCCACGTGCGCCGCGGCTGCCCCGGCTGGCGAGCCGGCGAGCGGGCCGGCTGCGGGGAGCTAGGGCTGGCCGCGGAGGCGAGGACGCGGTCGGAGCCCGGACAATGGCGCGAGGAGAAAAGGGTAAGAGTGGACAGCGGGCGCCACGGCCCTGCAGCCTGCGGCTCGCGGAGCTCAGCGAGGAGGGGCGTGTGCCGGGAGAGGCGCCCACAGCTCTGCCCGCGCCCCCGCAGAGCCCCCGGGCCGCCCGCGCCTAGCAGCGGCTCGGGACTGGCTGCAGGGAGGGGGCAGGGTCCGGTGGTCAGCGCACCGCGGAGGACCTCGCCGTCCCCACAACACCCCCCACCCCGCGGTTTCCTCTTTCCCCAGCCCACTCGCGCCTGCTCAAACCCCACAGGCGCAGAAGAAACGCAGAAAAAAGCGCGCCCACCTGGACCTGAGCCGAGGAGCAGCAGGAGCTGGAGCGCGCGGAGCAGCATCCCTGGCCGCCGCAGCCCGGCGACGGGTCGCAGACAAGGCGCCATTCAGCGGGTCTCCGCGGGCATGCTCCCCGGCCACCCCGTAGCCGCTGTCCGCCTGCCGGCCCCCGCCTCCGGGTGCTCCCCACGCCGCTGCTGGACGCGCGCAGCCTGGCCTTCCCTCTCGGGCTCCGGCGTGGCGTGGCTCGGCGCGGCCGGCGGCGGGTCTCTGTGGTCGCTGCGAGGCCGGCGCACGGACACCCGCTCGCAGGAGGCAGGGGGCCCGAGAGTCCGGCGTGGGGGCGGAGTGAGGCGGCGGTTGGAGGGGGCGGGGGCGGCGGAGTGGACAGCGCCGCCGCTGCCGGCCTGGGGACTACTTTCTACATCTGGCCCCTGGTCTGGGGACCGCGAGGTCGGTGCGGCCGGCGGAGGGAGACGCCAGGAGGGGGGTCCCGTGGCGGCCCTGTCGCTGCCCCCGCGGGGAGGGGGCGGGCCCCGCCGGACAATGCACCTGGGGGTCAAGCCCCGGCTGAGGGTCTTCGGCCCGCGGCCCCGCCCCCTCTGCCTGCCCGCCACCGTCGAGGACAGAACCACAAAGGCCGAGCCTCGCAGCCCAGGCTGCCCCCGGGGCCCCTCTCCCGCCGGCTTGTTTAGGATTCGGGGAAGGAGGAGGCGGGGGTGGGGGAGGGATGGTGTTGAGAGACGTGGAAAGGCCGGAGACTTTTCCCCTGATGGCCCCTGCCCATCCCCCTCCTTCCCTCGCACGCCGAGGCCCTGTGGAGGGAAAACTGACTATTCCCACTTCGGAGATCTGTCAGCCTCCTGACTGGAGGCATCTCCGGGTGCTAAGCCCCACTTTTGGGGACGGCTTTTACCCTCCCTGCCCCCCATCAGATGGAGCACTGGCTTAAAAACATCTCCAAAAAGTGCCCTGAAATGAACAATTATCTTTTGGGGAGACGTTTTATTATGTTTCTTAAGTTAGTCAAGTTCTTTAATTTGTGAGAACTGTGCACACAAAGGGCCCTGTCCTAAGAGTTGAGGTGAGATCAGGAGATTCCTAGATTCTCTGAGCTTGCCTTGGGTAACTAGGCTTTCATAGACTACCTGGTTAGAAGTTAAACTGACCAGGAAATACCAAATCTTATTAATTTGTTCACATCTCTTAAAATTAAGGATAACAAGAGGAGGTAAAAGGTACATTTGAAAATGTAATCAGATTGCCAAACATATGTGGATCATAGAGATTATTTCCATGTGGATTAGCACTTGCTAATCCAAAACTAAATCTATGGCACATGATGAGGGCACAGGCTAAAAGCTAACCTTAATGAAAGCTGCTGACAGAAATCTAGCTTTTGTCACTAAGACATCAACACACTGCCTTTAGCATGTGCCCCAAATCCTCCTTATGAAAAAAGGAGGTGGCGGGGGGGGGATGTGGGGGGGTGAGGGGGTGCTGGGGGAGATCAACAGTTTTAGAACATCTGCTGGGAGGGCAGCACTACCTTCCCCGGAAGCTTTCTATAATAAGGATCAGCCTGTTTAACAATTTTAACCCGTGTAAAACAGTAATAGCCTTGGCTATACTGCCTCCAAAACTTTACTTATAATTTAGATGAAGTAAAAACAATTTCTAAGCATCAGAATAAAGGTTCAGGGAAAGGGAAGAATGTTGAGGTAATAAAATGAAATACTTGCAAGAATGTTTTAAATATCTGATAAATTTACACAAATTTACATGACATTCTAAGTGTTCCGCTAAACTAAATTCTCTAATTGTATGGCATTCTTCCTCTTGACTCCCTTCTCCCAGTTTCCTTTCAATTGACCCTAAGTGCTCATATTTCCTGCATAAGAATTGCTAATAAGATGCTTTTATAATCTCTTTCTTGAATAAATCAGAAGAATAAAGGCTGGGGGAGGGGAGAGATAAGCTAAAAAGCAGGGGAAGAACTTTTTTTTAAATTGACATTTGATTTCCCTTTAACATTTTAATTGATCATAGAAGCTTTGATTCTTACAGGATGGCTTTGCACTCTGAGTTGCATTGGAGAAAAACATAGCATTAATCTAATATAAAATAAAATAATACATGTGATATGTATATATACACACGTATAATATATATAATGTAGTGAGATTAAACAACCCTATGGAACTTTTCTGATATATTTACTGTCTCATGTTAGGCAGCAATACACTTACTCTGATAATGTAATTATACCATATTATATAAAATTTGCAGAATACCCAAGGTCACTCATTAGTAAGTGATAGCTGGGAACCAGAATTCATGTGTTCTGATTTGTTTGTCGCCCTTTCTACTATATAATCCTTTCTGCCTTTAATTTAAAATTCTTTTTTTCTTAAATATTTATTTGAGGAGGGGGAAAGGCAGAGGGAGAGGAAGAGAGAATCCTCAAGTAGACTCCCTGCTGAGCATGGAGCCTGACATGGGGCTTGATCCCAGGACACCCAAGATCATGACCTGAGCCAAAATCAAGAGTTGGCCACTTAACTGACTGAGCCACCCAGATGCTCCTCTTCCCCCCTCCCCTTTTTTAAAACACCTATTCCTGTTGGCTTCAGAATTTATAGCATACTTCTTTAAATACCGCAGTACATGTCTTCTTGGACAGGCACATTTTCTTTCGTGTATAATACTTGTCTTATATCATGTGCCAGGCTGTATAAATTACTTAAGGGCATGTTACACTGTTCTCAAATGCTCCATAGATTCCAGCACAGTACCTTGCATTTGGTAGGTAGCACTGCAGTGATGAAAAGCATGTTTTTTATTGTCTCACAGACTAGAGTTCAAATTTTGGCATTTCATAGACAAGTTATTTATTGTCTCAGATCTCATCTATTTAATGGGAATAAATATAATATCCGTGGGCTGCTGTGATATAATGCATGGAAAGCATTATAGCTGCGTATAGCTCTATAAATAATTGTAGTTATTACTTAGTAAGTAAATATTCCCAATAGGGATAAATCTTTGTCCTTTCAGAGTGGGCTTAGTTTTTAAGTATTTAAGTTTTTAGGAGTCAAATCTGATTAATTTGTTTGGTGATTACACTGATGATGACTCTAATAACTTCTTTCAAAAGTTCCTAAGTTGGTCCGGAAAGAGGTAGGAAGTGCCTAGTTGTTTAATCTCCCAAAGTTATCCCCTTGAAAGATGAATCTCATTGAGATAAACAACTACCTAAGCTCTATTTCTATTTTGCTTTCACATTTTAAAGCAGGAACAATTATTTTCAGGCTGAAAAGAGCCTGTATAGCTGAGAACTGAAATCTGAGGGTATGTTTAAAAAAAAAAAAAAGGAATTGCTGTTTCCTTAAATAAATTCAAGTCACCTGGCCCAACTTTGGGGGGAAAAAAAACCACATAACTTCACCCATCAAATTATGGAGCTATACCAAATGATCTTCAAACTCTCTGGATCTCTGAACAATCTGGTTCCATGAAATCCTAGACCATTTGTATATGTTTGTGAAGCAAGAGATTGAGAAAAGACAGCAAAAGTCTAGAGTTGTTCAACTTTTCACTTAACAAATATTTATTGAGCTCCTACTATGTTGGTTAGAAGACCGGCCCTGGATAAGGATCACATGCTATGATCATCTCATGATTTCAGAAATCACTCACCCATGAACTTAATTTTTGCCATCAGAAGCATTCTGAAATGGACGTTTTTCATAGGAGGGTGGTAACTATTTGTGGAATTGTAAAATGGTGCAGCTGCTATGGAAAATGGTATTGAGATTCCTCAAAAAAATTAAAAATAGAACTACAATGTGTGATCCAGCAATCCTACTTTCAGATGTGTATCAGAAGAATTGAAAATAGGATCTTGAGGAAATATTTGTACACCCATGTTCATTGCAACACTATTCACAATAGTGTTGTGAATGTAAATAGTGTTGTGAATGCTTCCAAGATGTGGAAGCAACCTAAATGTGCATCAACAGATAAATGGATAAAGAAAATGTGGTAGATATATATATATGATGGAATATCATTCATGCCACAACATGAATGAACCTTTAGAACATTATGTTAAATGAAATAAGCCAATCACAAAAAGACAAATAATGCGCGGCGCCTGGGTGGCTCAGTTGGTTAAGCGTCTGCCTTCAACTCAGGTCATGATCCCGGGGTCCTGGGATTGAGCTCTGCATTTGGCTCCTTGCTCAGCAGGGAACCTGCTTCTCCCTCTCCCTCTACCTGCTACTCCACCTGCTTGTGCTCTCTCTCTTTCTCTGTCAAGTAAATAAATAAATAATCATAAAAAAAAAGACAATGCATGATTCCACTAATCTGAGGTATCTAATCAAACTCATAGAAACAGAAAGAGGAATGGTGGTTGCCGGGGCCTGTGGGAGAAGGAGATGGCGTTGTGGTTCGATGAGTATGAAGTTTATACAAGACGAAAAATTTCTAGAGATCTGTTGTACAATAACATACATATAGGTAACAATATTTTACTGTTCACTTAAAATTGTTAAGAATAAATTTATATAATGTGGGTTGTTTTACCACAATAAAAAAAAAGAGGGTTGCAAATGTGTAGGAAAGCTAGTTGTCATGAGAAGGCAGAAGCCCATGTTTGCTAAGAATACATATATCAACATAAGTCAAGGAAAATGGAAAAGCAAAACATCTTGATTTCAACAAGACATTTGACCACCACATGTCGTGATATTCTTATGGAAAAATACTGATTGGTTGTTAAAGGGATTATGCAAAATCACACTTTACTGAAGCATCTACTGCCACTCAAGGGCTCCATGTTGTCAACTTTCTTTCTGATACCTTTTAAAATCTGTTCTCCACTCAGTATCTCCTGCCACTGGCCATGTTCTAGCTCTCAACAGACTTCTCCCAAATCTTCTCATCTTTCCATGCTCCAATCCATTTTTATAGTGACTACCAGGTTAACTTGCCTGTGATCAAGTTTTTCTTCTGATTAAAAAACTTTCACTGCCCCTCATTGCCTGTAAAATACCAAAGTGTTCAATATATAACAAATGCCTTAATCCTAATGGCCCCCTGC